TTGCTGGCATTTTCTGATTATTTGACCCCCGCACATGAAAGTATTTATTTTTGCACTATTTAACAGCAGACTTATAATCCTATATTTGAATGTCGATTTGTACATGGATATAGCAACTAGTCGCCGTCAGTATACCTTGTATTGTAATTCCAATGTTTCTTATGTGTATGTGCTTCAGTATTAGGTATACAGTGCATATTATTATCGATAAACCTTCACTATGACAAATTATTATACACTTGTGCCCACACAAAAATAATATAGTTGAGCCATACGTTGAATCCCGCACGTATTCTCATACGACCGGTGACATTATACTCAATTAGGATAATTAACTCACATGACCTCGTTGATTGTAATCAAAATGTAATTATGTCATTTCCACTCTGACATTGATCCACTGCTTTTCTAATAATTCATGACACTAACATTTAATAAAACAAAATAGGTTGTCATGGCAACGCATACCGAATATTTAAACGCGTTGACGTATTAGGCATTTAAGGCAATTTAAATGTAAATTTATTGATATTAACCAAGTGTATTAATGTGTGAATTCACAAATAGATTTAAATTGCCCGCATTAAAAATACAACCACTAAAACATAACAGTAGTTAAAATTAGTTGATAATATGTTGATACGTGTAACCAAGTCCTATCTGAGGAATTAAACCAATATAAATTATTGTTATTGTGATTATATTTAACGCCATAAATATCAAAGTATGTTTTGGGGTTGACAACCATATATGGTTACCAAATTGTACGTCTTTTTTTCCCGATGTCTGCTAAACTGTCATTCATACCACTATTGTTTGATGGTGTGCATGGTTCATGATCGAAATCAATGAATAAGCTTGAGGCGTGGTGTCTTATACATAGCTAGTTAATGTAACCAAGGTCAACTTATTTTCAAACATTCAGAACCAGTATTTAATTTAATTTACAACTCATATACTAGTACTTATTATAAACCCATTTTCACCTATTAATATTAAAGCGAACCTAAAGGCGGCCTTAATTTATAGTTATGTATATTCTAAACTGTATTCGAAATAATATTGCAGTGGTTTAATTTTGTTTTAATTACAACTGTAGCTTGGATAGGCATTTGAAGTGCTTGCCATGGAGGCCATTCATGGAGGAGAATAATTAACGAACGAACATATTTAACATCCGGGTACTATAAACTCAACCTTTATATGCACAATGTGCTTTTTAAAACTTGGGTTAGAGCCTTATGCGTTTGAACCACAGTATTCTGAGAGTGAAAGCCCAATTGCGTTAAAGTACCGTACTTCCCCGATCGTAAGCCCCTCCCGAGTATGAAGCCCATCTCTATGTTTTTACTTGGTATTTATCGAGTTGAGGGCATTCGCGATTATAAGCTTTAAAATATGCGTGTAAAAGGTGTGTTTCATTTCATAATAATCGTGATTGGCATGTTAGTTTGGTTCATGCTTTTAGTTTTATGAGAAAACTCGCATTAATTTCAAGTTCAGAATGCATGGCGAACGTACACAACGTGATTCGCATCGTTTCTATTCTGTCATTTACTCAGGATGAACATCGATGTTGCAATTCTGGAGTAATCCATATTTCTTTGAGTAGTAGCCTTCGAAAAGCCAAAAATGTGATCGTCAAGGCGTGTACCTGGTTATTGGGCATGGTTTACTTTGAGACTATCATGAAAGGGTTTGAACGATGAGACATGTTGGTGACCGAGAAAGATGTTTAAATTCTTCCTCCACACTCAGTTTACCCACGGTTACTATTAACCGTCGTTTATATTTCGGAAATTGCAAATCGCCAGTTTTTAGGGGAAAAAATCATCGTTTTTTCGTTGCAATCAGTGCTACAGATCGCATTTTAACATTGCGGTAATTCACTTCCGCATTGCGCTAAAAAAATCATCGTCAATAATCGGAAAATTTCATTATTACGACACATCATTTTGATTGGTTAATGAAAGACATGACCTGTTATGCAAAGGAAGTTGTTCCAGGTCAAATCGTGCTGAAAAACCTCATGGTGGAAAATAGTTTTGCGTCGAGAGTTTGCGTACGATCTAGAACATATCACCAACAACGATGATAATGATAAATGCCTTCGTCCACTGTTTCTCACAGACCCTACCCATTATTTCACGTAAATTC